CATCAATATAAAAGAAAATAAATTTGAGCCTCCAAGCAACACTCCTCCAAAATATGATATCATAATTCAAGGTTAACAATTCGTAAACACTCATGTCTTTTGATAAATTCTTTCTTAAAAATGCATAAATAAAAAAAGATAAAAATTCTTATCATCTATTTATATAAAAAAAATATAGATATCTCACCTTTAAAATAAACAGTAAAATATCACCAGCACGCAACATTGACCGAGCTTCTCAATCTTTTTTCAATGTTTCTTATATTTATATGTGCAAATATAATATAACTACAATACATAATAACTCATATGGTAAATGCCATTAAATATAATGACTTTTCACATTTTTGTATTTATTAAATTACAATGAAACTTACCTTTTAAATTCTATAACTTCTGCATTGATCATTTCTACATTTCCTTATAGAAACATAAGTAATACAAAAAAAAAAGTAAGAAAAAACTAGGGGAAGAGATTAATAATAATGGTGAAGAATATCCTAAATATGGATATATTAAATTTGGCATTCATACACATAAATTATAATAATAACTAATTTAATAGATTAAATTAGGGACAGAATTGAATATTTGCAACCCATAAAATGAGTTTCACGTATCGTTGTCCAGTTGGGTATATTATAACGTACATATATAAAATAATAAAGGAATTCATGGAAGAATTTAAACGGAAACGATTAATCGAGGGCATTTATTTAATTTATTCAATATATTAGTGATTGTACTTAACTTTTTATGATTAACACAAACATATTTATTTTAAGATTATGTTTTTGAGATAATGAGTAGCTAAGCTCCAAAACTAGGTTTGTGGGAACCATGAGTGATTAACAAAATATGAATAGTAATTAAGCAGTTCTCAAATAGGTTATTGTATGTATTGATAATTCTTTCGTTTAGAAGTCTTTTTAACGAGTGCACACGTTAGAACTCGCCTTATTGCTATTTGCCGGACCAAGGAGGTAGTTAATAATAAAAAATTATCAACATAGATTTAGCGGGATACAATCTAAGGATAGTGTTGTGTCACGACCCAAAAATGGGCGTGATGGCACTCGTCTTATCCCACCAAGACAAGTCAGCCTAAAACCAAATATCTAACAAAGTGCGGAAGTAAATGACAATCCAACAACAATTTCTAGTATGAAACCAAGTCATATTAATTCAATCCCCAAAATCAGGTTGTCACGTGCACAAGCCTCTAATGTAAATATTAGAATTGAAATAAAATAGAAGTCTAACATGAAGTTGTCTTTCAAGTAAAAACAAAGTCATAAACTGGAGTAGGAAAGTTCGCTGAGATGACAAGCAGCTACCTCACAATCCTCCACAAGATGCCTCGGAAACGAAAAGAATAACAGGTATCACGAAGATCCAGGCTCGTATCCTACAAAAATTTGTAGAAGCAAGGGGTGAGTACCAAACCACGCAGTACCCAACAAGCAAACCTCTAAACACAAGTTAAGTGAACAAAATACGGGCACTTCTTATACCATATCTAAACCTCCGCGCTACAGTCTAATAGTTTAAAGTTTACCAAACACACAACTCAATAACCACACTCTATCAGTTTACACATTCTCAATAACAACTCAATATTCAACAGCCACAAGCTTCACAGAGAAACACTCACAAGATCAACAAAACACGTGTTCAAGTTCATCAATAATCAAATGTGTAATGCCATGAGATGCAATGTCAAGTATAGTGATGCATGTCTTCCCTAACGATACACACCCACTGTCTCTCAGTCCGGGACCCATGGGGGACATATCTGTCCATGCATCTGTCGCGGTGCACAACACGACCCTCGATAATAGTAACCTTTGCAGCGCGCGATACGTCCCTCGAAATATGATATCCATCGCGGCGCGCGATACGACCCTCGAAAATAGTACATCCTCTTACCACAACCATGTCTCAGATACAATGCAAATGACATGCTCAGTTGAAAAGGAGGAGATAACCATTTGATAACAAAGCACAATTTGCAACAAGAAATACAACACCAACAATTAAGCAACAAGTCTCCAAATCATTCTCAACATCACACAAAGAAATACACGAATTTCGTACGCTTAACAAGGGTTTAGAAATCCACTTGCCTTAGTCAATCGAATAATTACTCTAGGGCTTGAGCCTTCCCTTTCCGTTGAGCTTCCGAACCAATGGAATCTATTCAAGTATATATTCACAATAAAGTTTTAGAATTAACAACACCCATATTTTTATTTGTTTAACCTTGACCTAAAAATACACCCAAATTTATAATCAAGTTACTAAATCTTGATTCCAACCAATAAGTCAAATCTCATATTTTCTAAATTTCAAGTCAATTAGGTCATAATTTATCCAAACACCACAACCGTGAAAGTTCTTATATAATTATACTATACTCAATATTTAATATCACATCTTAATATGTCAAAACTTGAATCATAATGTGATAACTAAACAATTAACTAAATCAGATGTGCCTCAAAACAATTTACAGATTAACATATTTCTAATGTTCAACTATAAACATTAATTAAATAAATTATTCACTAAGCAATCATATCCAATGATTAGGCATTATTATCCAATTATTAGGTAATCATTGGACAATGATTAGACTATTTAAATTAATCATATGCTTATCCAATTTCAATATATATGCCACTGCCAATTCTTGTTTCAAATTCCCTTCTTCCATTCATATTATAATGTCATGTACACGTGTATAGTGATAAACAAGACATTTTCACAAGGTGTTTAATGCATAAGTTGTTTACCTGAAGCAGCAGTCGAACCCTTCGTCTTCGTTCCGTCGATCTCCTTTCTCCTTTTCCTTTTATGAATTTATTAAGTACTAATTGTGATAGGTTTTACCCACATATTTTATTAAATAAAGGCTAAATAGTATAGGGTCTTAAATAAATTATCACTTTAGCCCATAAACTATCAATTAATTAACTCAAGTTAAGCAAATATTTAAAATTTCCAAAAATGACCTTCCGGGTCATTACATGTTGATTGGTGCAAAGTAATAACTAAGTCATACATCGATTATGATGCTTAATATGAAGTAAAGGTAAGGGTTAGTAAATTATACACATGTATCCGAACCCAGGTACGGGGTGAAATTCTCTAGATGTCGGACTAAGTATTTAGATATACATAACTTATGACTTTGCGTGCAAGATACTAGGAAAGAATTTTTATACCTAGGATTACCGCATTATGAACCTATGGGGAACACTTACACCCTAGATTCTCTCATCACTTGATAAACACTAAAGTTATAAACTTGTTATCTATCTTCTTAGAAATAATAAAACTTTTTGTTACGCAAAACCCCCCATTCAATTAATTGTTTTCGGAAAGCACTTGACTAAATAGACATAATCGTAGATTGAAGTTAAGTCTAAACCATTTTCCTCGTGGAATCGACCCCAATCAAAAAATTGGGTTCTTTACTTGATACGACCATTTATAATTCTTGAGGGAAGTATAATTTGAGCGTATCAAATTCTAGCGCCGCTATCGGAGAAAGTGACTTTTAGATTAACTTTAAGAACATTACCGAATTTTAGTCAACAATTTCCTGATTTTACTTTTTCTTTTTGTTTTTATCTATCACATGTCTAGCTTTAGTCTATGCCAAGTACACGGAGTCGAGGAGAACCAATACTTTCACTTGATCCATAACTAAACCGTACACTTTGCAGAATGAATATTCAAAACAATCCTGCTTATATAGATGATGAGATCAACCCTCAACTTCCCCTGCCGGTTGATTATCATAATCAAGTGATTGTTGATAACCTTGGTGAAGGTAATTCGAGAAGGAAACCTCCTGCTCCACTCCCTCAAGAGTACTACAGGGGAAATGTTAACATCACTGACTCTGATGGGTCACTTGTCCTACCTCCTCTACCACATGGTCATACTTTCGTGGTAACTAGTAGCCTGATGCAGTTGCTCACCGCTAAAGGTTTGTTTTTGGCGCTACCATCTGAGGATCCACATGCTAACATAGCCAAACTAAGGTCGGTGTGTAAGAGTTATGTAGGGAGGCCAGACTTAGACATGGATGTAATTGGATTAAGAGTGTTCCCTCTCTCACTGACGGGGGAGGCTGCAATTTGGTTTACTAAGCTGCTCTACAATTGAATCTACACTTGGGAGCAGTTGAGGGATGTATTCCTAGCAAGGTATGACCAGGTTTCTAAAAAGCTCAACCACAAAGAATAGGGTGAACAACTTTGTGGCATTACCAGGGGAGTCAGTAAGTAGTTCTTGGGATAAGTTCACCTCATTCTTGACAAGTTTCCCAAACCACCGCATTGATGATGAGTCACTAAAAGAGTACTTCTATCGGGGGCAAGATGATAATAATAAAACGGTGCTCGATATGATTGCTGGTGTTTCTTATGAGGAGTGTACTTATGCAGATATCGCTAAAAAGTTAAAAAAATATCCCGAAATAATAAATCTTGGAGCACTAGGAAGTCGGATACAGGGAGAAATAATTTTGTGGTGCAATCTTCACACAACCCTGTTGCAGATGAGATTCGTGAAGAGATGGCTCAAATGAGAACTGAGCTTGGGTTGGTGTTGAAACATATCACTGGGGTACGGAAAAAGTAAATGCGGTGAACAATTTGGCTAAACCACCACCACCGATTGATGACTACTACTATCAAGAAGATTCTTATGCAGTAAATGAGCAAATGGGAGGTTTCCGACCAAACGCCCAAGGCTCCAATCAGGAGAAGTGGTGCCAAGGTCATGGAAATCAAGGTCGGAACTATGGAAATTACAACCGAGAGGATCACTATGTTCGAGATAGAAACTACAACCGCGACAACAACTTCAACGGGGTAACTATGGAAACAAAAACGATCGAAGTGGCCCCTATGTTTCACCACAAATCAGAAAGTTTCTCCTAGGGATGGTGAAGGTAGTATGGCACGAGTTGAAGACATGTGCAAAAGATGAGGAGGAGGTTTGACGCAAGTAATGAGCACGCCAAGGAGTTGAGAGGTGATTTGGCTAACATTGGGCAAAAAATGGATGCACATGCAGTCTCAATCAAGCATCTTGATATGCAAATGGCCCAATTGTCGTCTACAGTGAACCCTCGTCAACCGGTTAATTTTCCTAGCTATACCGTCCAAAATCCAAAAAATGATGGACATTGTATGGCAGTCACGACTCGAGTGGATAAGCAAACCATTGATCCACCTACGCCATCTGATATTGAAGATGAGGTGAGAAGAGAAGATGCGGTAATAGAAGCTAGTGGTGAGTTGGTAAATAAAGCCGTAAAAGAATTAGAGATGCCCCAAAAGGTGACCCCCGTTCCTAGACCACCACCACCATTTCCACAAAGATTGATGAAGAAGACCGAGGATGGCAAATACCAGCATTTTATTACTATATTGAAACAACTTTCCATCAATGTACCTTTGATAGAAGATCTTGAACAAATGCTCGGTTATGCCAAGTTTATGAAAGATATGGTCACTAAGAAGACGTCAGTGAGTTTTGAGGATGATTATCAGATGCAACATTGTAGTGTTATTGCTACAAGGTCTCTTGTGCAAAAGAAAGAAGATATGGGTGCTTTAACTATTCCATGTACAATCGGGTTATTACACTTTGCTAAAGTATTATGTAATATTGGGAAAAGCATAAATCTCATACCTCTCTCCATTTACAAGAAGTTAGGTTTGGCTGACCCAAATCCCACTGTGATGCGGTTACTGAAGGCCGATCGAACAATGAAGAGGCCTATTGGGATACTCCACGATGTGTTAGTGAAGGTGGAGTCATTCATATTTCCGGCTGATTTTGTCATTCTTGACTGTGAGCTGGATTTTGAGGTGCCTATTATTCTTAAGAGGTCGTTTCTTGATACCGGTCACGCCTTGATTGACATGGAGAAAGGGCGATGAAGTTTTGATTGAACAATGAAGAAATAACTTTCAACATTTGTAGGTCCATGAAGCAGAGTGGTGAACTCCAAATGGTATCTACTATATCATACAGGGTTGAGAGTACGTCTAAGGTTCAAATTGAAGAGCGTCTTAGTGTTGAGGCACTAGCGGCAGTGATTATGAACTTTAAGAGTGATGGTATTGATGATTATAGGTCATTGGTTGAGGCACTTGATCGAGGTGATATTTGATTCAAACCAAAGAAATTGGAGTTAGGTAGAAACATCGTGAGTCTCCACCCGCGAAACCCATCTATTGAGGAGGCTCTAAAATTGGAGCTTAAGGTTATACGACCTTATCTGAAGTATGTATTCTTGGGAAAAGGTGACACTTTGTCGGTAATTATTGCGTCAGATTTGAATATACAACAAGTAGAGTGTTTGTTAAAGTGTTAAAGAGGTTCAAGAGACCTATTAGGTGGACTATTGTGGATATTATTGGGATCCCTCTCACATAAAATCCAACTCATGCCCGATCATAAGCCCAATATTAAGCATCAGAAACATTTAAATCCACCTATGCAAGAGGTAGTGAAGAAGGAAATTATTAAGTGGTTAGATGCCGGAGTCATATATCCGATCGCTTATAGTACTTAGGTATGCCCTGTTCAGTGTGTCCCAATAAAGAGAGAATGATGTGGTCCCTAATGAGAAAAATGAGTTTGTTCCAATGAGGCCTGTGACCGGATGGAGGGTGTATGGATTACCGGAAATTGAATGCATGGACTGAGAAGGACCATTTTTCTATGGCCTTCATTGATCATATGTTAGATAGGCTTGCAGGAAAGGGGTGGTATTGTTTTCTTGATGGTTATTCGGGTTACAACCAAATCTCTATTGCACCGGAAGATCAAGATAAACCACTTTTAATTGTCCTTATGGAACTTTCACGTTCAAGAGGATGCCCTTCGGGTTGTGTAATACACCAGCTACTTTTCAGAGATATATGATGTGCATATTCTCCGATATGGTGAAGGACACCATTGAGGTATTTATGAATGATTTTTCTATTGTTGGTGACTCGTTTGATCATTGGTTGAATTAGTTGTCCGAAGTTCTCAAAAAATGTGAAGATTAAAACCTTGTTCTAAATTGGGGAAAATGTCACTTTATGGTGAAAGAGGGTATTATATTGGGACATCGCATCTCAGAGAAGGGTATAGAGGTTGATAGAGCTAAAGTCGAGGTGATAGAGAGATTTTCTCCACCCATCTCTGTAATAGGTGTGAGGAGTTTCCTTGGGCATGTGGGTTTCTACCAGAGGTTCATCAAGGATATTTCAAAAATTGCACATCCTTTGTGCAAGTTACTTGAGAAAGAGTGTAAATTTTATTTTGATGAATCCTGTCTGAAAGCATTTGGAGAGTTGAAGGAGAAGTTAGTGTCTACGCCAATTATTATTTCTTTGGATTGGAGCAAACCATTTGAGGTTATGTGTGATGCTAGTGGGGTCACTCTTGGTGTAGTATTGGGATAAAAAGGGATAAAATCCTTCACCCCAATTATTATGAAAGTAAGGCCCTTAATGAAGCTCAGAAGAATTATAGTGTGACTGAACAAGAGCTACTTGCGGTGATATTTGCTTTCGAAAAATTTCACTCTTATTTGCTTGGCACGAAATTTACAGAGCATACTGATCATTCTGCCTTGAGATATTTGATGGCAAAGAAGGATGCAAACCGAGGTTGATTAGATGGGTATTACTGTTGCAAGAGTTTGACTTTGAAGTGAAAGATAGAAAATGGACCAAAAATCAAGTTGTCGATCACTTGTCCAAATTAGAGGATGAACCTATGCGAGAGTTGGGTGAAAGGTTGAAATTGATGATACTTTCCCTGATGAGCATGTATTTTCCGCTTCTCATGGCTTGATTTCATGGTTCGCAGATTTTGAAAATTACTTGGCTAGTGATATCGTCCCATCGAACTTGTCTTTTCATCAAAGGAAAAAGTTCATGCACGATGTGAAAAAGTTTTTTGGGATGAGCCATATCTATATAGGAGTTGTATCAATGGGCTTATTCAGTGTTGTGTGCCGGATTTTGAGATGTTGAGTGTTTTGGAAGCATGCCTCTCCTCGCCTGTGGGTGGGTATCATAGTGGTATTCAGACTGCCCATAAAATCTTGCAATGTGGCTACTATTGGCCAACCATTCACCAAGATTCTCATGAGTTCGCCAAGGCATGTGGTAGTGCCAAAGAGATGAAGGTGTTTCTAGAGAACCCCTTTTAAGTTATATGATACTTACTATTTGGGCCTGACTTTAAGTAGTACTTTCTTGTGAATGCTTGATTACTAGTGAAATTGCAAATCTTTTGACACCTAGGCTTATGGTTATGACTTTGTATATAGCTTATTTATTTTGTAGTTTGTTATGATCCTGTCTATGTTAGAAGTAGAATTGATCCATCTTGATTGATACTTGTGCCATGTGTGGTGAGATTTTGTTTATTCCATATTTTGCATCTTAGTCTAGAACTTTCCCTGCATGTTATTGAAGCGAAATAAAAAAAGTGTTGCCTTGTTTAGGAGATAATAATAGGCTTTCTTTGATTTGTCATATAAATTTTAGCTTTTTCAGATATTTTATCACTAGTTACCCCTTTTGAGCTTGTAGCCTTTTATTGGTACCCATATTTTTCCCTTGGCTATTTTTGTTGATTCCCTAGTTTTTGCACCTTGCTTCCTTGAGCATCATAGCATAGACTTATTTTAATTATCAATTTTGAGAAAAGGGGATGGATGAGTGAAAATGTAATCAATGATAGCTACAAAGTTCTTAAAATCCCTCTTTGAAATAATGTGAAAAAAATATATATAATTGGAATGTGACATTAAAAAAAATTACCTTGATGATGGCCCTGGTCCTTCCAAGGACATCGTGCACCTTAACTTATGTAAAATACGCAAGTCGAAGGTGGATATTATGAAGGAAAATCAAAAAATAAAAGAGAGAATAATGACTGAAACATTCTTGTGATGATGAGAATTACTTGTGAAATAATTGTTAAAGAGAGGGCTGAAAATAAAGAGAAGAAAATATGGGTGATGAAGTCTAAAAATTGCAAAGTGCTTAAGAAATTGATAGTCGTTATTATATATATATTTTCTACCCATCCCCTAGCCTACATTACAACCCGTTAAAGTCATATTTGATTATACTCAAGCATGCTTAATTAGTAGAGATGTACATACTGGGCAAGCATATGGTTCTTTGTGCATACATGTGAATTTTATTTGTGAGTGTGAGAGTTGTTCTTGATATTAAATCCTTAATTTATATTAAATCTTTTGAATTGAGTATATGGACTATTTCTTTTTGTGAGGGCACTTGTTTCATGATAGATAGATGATGTTATTAACATTCTTTGATGAGCGTAGGTGAACAAATACAAATTTTATGAGTTCAAAGTCCTTCAAGTTAGGAGGTTAGAGGTTTGTTGTTTACCTAGATGTCTTGCTTAATGATTGAGAAGTCCACTTGATATTTTAAAATGGGTATATAGCCTAATTGTTTGTATTAATCAAAGTGATGACATTGCTAGTATAATTTTTGTAGATGAGCTTTAATGCTTGCTCGAGGACGAACAAAAGTTTAAGCGTGGGGTGTTGATGTGAGGCTAAAATACATATTTTTTTTATCATTAATAAGCTCAAATTTATTATTTATATTTGTCCGTTTTGAGCATAAATTTTATATATTGTGCTAAATTGTGTATTTTGTTTGTAGAATTAATTTGGTAAAAAATGCAGTTTGGAGCTAAAATGAAATAAAGATGGAAGGTTGAAGGAAATCAAGCAGGCAGCTTAATGGATTAAAGTGAATAAAATAAAATATATATATATATATATATATATATATATATATATATGGAAAGCGGCTGCACTAAATTGATGGAACCGTGTTCTCTTTGCCACGTGTCAGTTTCTTAAAGGTCACTTAATTTGGAAGGCGGCGGCAGCAACAGTAACAACAAATAATTTACGAAATGCAATTCCTTTTGGATTTTGATTTCCCAATTTGTTTGAACTCAATTATTTTATTTAGTGTTTTCTAAATCTATAAATAGGATATAGAAATGATTATTTGAGGAAACCAAGAAACAAGATACAAAACATAATATAAATTTTCTTCTAGCTTTGGAGCTTTGTAAGTGCCGCCTGGAGGCCGGAGAATTGTGGTGTATTCTTTCTTCTCCTTTATTATTTATTTGTATTCGTGATTAATAAAAATATAGTTTAGCTATTGTTCTTAAATTTTTATGATTAACACAAACATATTTATTTTAATAAATTTTGATTGTGTTTTTGAGATAATGAGTAGCTAAGGTCCACAACTAGGTTTGTGGGAACTATGAGCGACTAATAAAATATGAATAGTAATTAAGCAATTCTCAAATAGGTTATTGCATGTATTGATAATTCTTTCATTTAGAAGTTTTTTTAACGAATGCACACGTTAGAACTCGCCTTATTGCTACTTGCCGGACCAAGGAGGTAGTTAATAAGAAAAGAATTATGAACATAGATTTAGTGGGATACTATCTAATAGGCTAGTGTCAATTTGTGCGAAGTAATAACTAAGTCATACATCCGTTATGATGCTTAATATGAAGTAAAGGTAAGGGTTAGTAAATTATACACACGTAGTCAAACCAAGGTATGGGGTGAAATTTTCTAGATGCCGGACAAAGGATTTAGAGATACATAACTTATCACTTTGCGTGCATAACACTTGAGAAGAATTAATATTACTACCGCGTTATGAGCTTATGGGGAACACATTCTTGGTTATTTTTATTAATTTGGCTATAAATAAATACTTACTTCAATGCTATTTTTATTTCTTTTATTTTTATTTCAATTTGAAATCCCCCATTTTTATATAACGACTATCAAGTTAAATATTTGTTATTGATAATATTCTTCCATATTCTCTGTGGGATCGGTCCAGAATCATAGTTGGGTAAATATATTGCATACTATCGTTTATATTTCTTTTTAAGAAGTATATTTGAACGTTATCATTTATAACTAGGTATTTTTAGTTTGAATCACATACATCCGAACGATGATATCCATGTTATTGTGTGCACACTTGATGATACAATGTAAGTAGGGATGACACTAGTAGAAATATGCTCTTTAATGTAATTTATGATAAAGATTCAAAAGCCTCAAGCTTTCGATAT